TTGTGGACTTTATAGAACACAGCTTCAACGATAAGAGGGCTGACTGGGTCGTACCTCCCCAGAGATGCCGGCTGGGCTTGGGGGCTCCCCGAGGCCCCTTGCCTGGAGCCCAGCTGCAGCCGCCTCTTCTTCCGGGGCTGGCTGAGCCTGTAGGCTTTCGAACAAGCACCTCTTTATTGCCGCGGTTCCTGGGCCACGATGGCATTTGTTTGTGACGGGAAAATAAGCCTTTGCTTTGCGTGGCCTTGCTGGTTGATGCCACGGTGCTGACTTCTGCCCCCGAGGCTGTCACCTTTATGGGGGTGGGGTGGGGGACTTCCTGCTGGCCAGGCAATCTCAAAGGGCACTGTGTGACCTTCCAGGCCTGACAACAAAAGGATTTTCATCTGGCGGAGCATTGCTCGCCCCGTGTCTGCCCGGCGTGGTCACATTGTTGGTGACCTTCAGGACAGGACTGCTTGGAAGTCGGGTACAGGAGCCCACTTTCTCCCAGGACAATGGAACCTCGAGTGCCAGCCATTCTCAGTGCCCGGCCCGGCCATCTGTCCTGTTCAGAATCGTAGGCGTCTGAAATAGACGACGCTGCAACAAGCGGGCCTTGAAACCTCGACTCTCAGCGGGCCCTGGCCGGCAGCCGCCCTCGGGCTCTCTCCTGGGATGTGTCTCGAGGGCGTGGGGGTCTGGGGGGCTCCTGGCCCCAGGGGCCACACCTCTACATTCCGGAAGCCCCAGCGGATCCTGGATCTGGCCTGTCTGACCTCTCCTGGATGGATGGCAGGTCAGTGAGTAAAGTCTCACCCCCACGCGACAGGACTCGGGCGGGGCAGCTGGAATGTCACGCAGTAGAGAGGAATGTAGCGGTTTCCACAGCCGGACACACACAGACAGGGCCTTGTGGGGCCGCGGCAGACCTTGTGGAGGACCGTGGGGGCGGGCGAGGCCGCACCAAGGGCTCTCCTCCCCCCGGGAGAGGCACTGACTGCCCGCTCCCCGGGTATCCAGGGTGTGCCTCCCACCGCCCACCACGGGCAGAGCGGCCTTCACGCCTAAGTCACCTGGAGACTGCTTTGTCTCCCGATGGACTCCCAGCGACACGTGGCACATAGACACTGGGGTTTACAGCCCAGATGCTCGGTCTCAGAGACGCTTGGCTCATCTCTCGGCCTTGGTGTCCTTGTCTGTGAAATGGGTGTTGGAACGCGAACGCTGACCTTGCAGAGTGGGGGGTCACTCCTGCAACCTGGCCGGAGGTCCACGTCCAGAGCGGGGCTGCCTGCACACAGCGCTGCCTCTGCTGATGGACTTGAGCCTGGTTACCAGCCAGGGGTCCCGGGAGAGGGCAGGGTGCAGGCCCCCTCGCCCTGGCTCAGGTGTTGAAACCTCTCCTGCGACTTGTTCCTCGCAGCATGGAAAGTAGCTGCGAGGTGCTGGTGGGGCGGCTTAGGCCAGTGGGGCAGCAGGTTGCCCTGCACGGCCCTGCGGGTGCCTGAAGGGAACCCAGAGGACAGGGCCCGGCAAGTGGCTTGTTGGCAGCAGGGCTGAGCGGGAGCCCACGGCCCGGGGACTCAGTCCCAGGCTCCCTTGGTGGGTGCGGTGCTGAGGGCCGCTCCTTGCAGGCCCTGGGAGAAGAACTGGTGCTCTGGGAGGCGGGGAGGGGGCCAGGCGCCCAGGGAGGTGGCTCTGAGCAGGCCGGGGGTGGGGGGTCCCTGAAGGCTCCTGTGGCCCCACTGATGCTGTGATCTGTAGTGACTGTGGATGGGACCAGCTAGGGGACCTGTAACTTCTGGACCCACCTCAGAGTGGACCAGGGTCTGGCTGGGCGGGTGGGGGACAGCCAGCAGGTGAGGAAGAAAGCTGACTGCTTCAACCTGACCCCTGGGTTGGCCCCCGAAGCCCCTCGCATCACCCAGAATGAGGGGAAGGGGCTGGGGAGGGCCTTTGACTGGTTGACTGACCCACTCACTCTTACCTGAGATATGTGTGAGCATCCGTGTTCCTTGTGGTAGGTAATGGGGCTCCAGGAAGTGAACGGAAGGGGAGACAAAAAATCTTTCCGGCAGGAGGTCAAATCTCCAGAGGAGAGAAGTGACAGACACGTGAGAAGACGCGGCTGCTCCTGGTGGCGTCTGCTGTGGATGAGACTGGGCAGGGGGCAGGACACGGGCCGGGGGGCGATGCCAAAGCAGGCGGGGCCCAGGGGCACACCCAGGGCTGGTGGGGAAAGGCCCGGAGCGGAGGGGGCCCCAACCAAGCCGTCACTCAGGCGAGCTGGGTCGTGGGCCCGAGGCCCCGGAACTCGTCTGGTCACTCGTGGGGAACTTGCGGGTCACATGGTACTGGGGTGCTGGTGGAGCAGGGCGCCTGCCTGGGCAGCTGGGTCCTCAGCAAAGGGGGGCACGTGGGGCCAGCATGCCTCCCCCTGTCGACAGGAGGTGGCAATGACCCGCGATGAGGAGGACTCAGTCCCGCCGGGTGCTTGCATCTCCCGTGATGCTGGGTGTGCGTGTCTCAGGGCTGCAGATGGGGAGACTGAGGCTCAGGGTCGTGGCCATGAGCGGTCACAAAGTGCTGACCACGCAACTGGGCTGGGAGGCGTCCAGGATCTTTGGCTCCAGCCGCCAGTCCCCTCGGCCCCTTGCAGCCAAGGTGTTGGAGGCCCAGGTATCTCCCAGGCGAGCCTTGAGGTGGGGGTCCCGACATTTGGGTGCCCTGCTCCGGGGTCGTGGGTGGGGGCAGGCACTCAGCACAGCCCCTCCGCCCGGGGTCGGGTCAGTCATAAAAATACCTGGCCTGGGCTTCTGGCGTCCTGTCCTTGCAGTATTGGATTGCATGGTTATAGCTCTGCAGATGGGCCCTAATGGGCCACAAGATGTCAAGTGGCAACACCGAGATGAATGCTCTCCTTAATGCGCCTTTCTGGCTTCAACCTTGCAGGGTAGCCAGGGCCCAGCTGCCTTGCTCCTCCAGAATTTTGAAAAAATTAACTCCTTATTCTCATTTCGATAGTTTGCTAACTTTGTTTTTATCTTGAGTTCAAATGTTTTGAAGAGGGGGCAGGAGGGAGCGAGGGGAGGAGTGGAGGGAGGGGGGAGGGGAGGAGGAAGGGGAGGAGGAAGAGGATGGGGAGCAGAGGGATGGGGAAGGGGAGAAGGGGAGGGAGGGAGGGGGAGGAGGAGGGTGAGGGATGGGGGAGGGAGGGGAGGGAGGGGGAGGGGAGGAGGGGAGGAGTGGAGGGAGGGGGGAGGAGGAAGAGGATGGGGAGCAGAGGGATGGGGAAGGGGAGAAGGGGAGGGAGGGAGGGGGAGGAGGAGGGTGAGGGATCGGGGAGGGAGGGGGAGGGAGGGTGAGGGGAGGAGGAAGAGGATGGGGAGCAGAGGGATGGGGAGGGGAAGGAGGGGAGGGAGGGGAGGGGGAGGAGGGAGGTGATGAGGGAGGGGAGGGAGAGGGGAGGAGGGGAGGGAGGGGGAGGGGAGGGGGAGGGGAGGAGGGAGGGGAGTGGAGGGAGGGGCGGGGGAGGAGCACGTGGGAGGAGGGACCCACGCCTGCTCCACAGTCCCCATCCTACTCCCCGATGTCCAGCCGGCTCTGGGGGCATCGTGTCTGGGAGCCCAGTCGTGTGGGCGCCCTCGGGCCCCCACGGCAGCCGCTTTCGCCCCCGCGTGGATTCGGGAGCGTCATGTCTCTCTCGCCGCAGCCGTGTGTCCTGTGTGCTCCTGCTCTCCGTCCTCTCTCCCTCCTCTCCCGCCTCCTCCCTCGGGTTTCGTTTCCTGCACCCAGGCCCGAAGGGGAGACCCTCCCACCTGCTCTGTCAAGATCCCCGGGTGTCCTGAGGTGGGGCAGGGCCGCGCTTGGAGGGGCTTTTCCCAACAGTGCCTGTCGGGGGTGGGGGTGCCTTTCAGCAGCCTCTGCCTGCCTGTGGGGTTCACCTCTGGGCCCCTGGTGACCCTGCAGGAAGCGGGTGGGGCTGCAGGGGCTCCGGGGGTAGGACGCCGGCCAGAGGCCGTGCTGGCCGCTCCTGCTGCCACTGAGCCCTTGGTGCCATCCTGGGTCAGTGGAGAGCAGGGGGGAGCTGGGGGCAGCTCCTTGGTGAGGGTCCGGCCATCCAGCTTGTTCCTGACTCTGCCCCTTGTGAGGGTGTGTATCGGGGAGCCGAGTGTTGAACTTTAGGGGACGTGGAGTCCTGTCTCCCGAGGGCTCGGGTGATGCTTGGAGTGGCCAATGGTGCTGGTCCCTGCTGCCCAATGCCCTGCAAAGGAGAGGAACGGGAGCCTAGGGACATGGCAGGCAGGGGCCTGCCTCTGGGTCCCGGGCAGGACAGAGGAGGCCGGAGGGCAGGAGAGAGGGCCCGAATCTGGTGCCTTACCCTGTGTTTAAAAAACAGCGGCAATCCCCTGGTACAAGCTCGTGAACGCCGGAAAGGAGGCAGGGGTGCCGGGTGCAAGGTTTACTTCCACACTGTTGGAAAAGGCTGCGCCAGCCCAAGACAGTTCTAAAGGAAATCAGCCCTGGACATTCACTGGAAAGACTGATGCTGAAGCTGAAACTCCAACAAAAGTATTGGCTGCCTGATCCGAAGAGCTGACTTATTGGAAAAGACCCCGATGCTGGGAAAGATTAAAGGTGGGAGGAGAAGGGGACGACAGAGGATGAGACGGTTGGATGGCATCACCAACTCAACGGACGTGAGTCTGGGCAAGCTCCAAGAGATGGTGAGGTACAGGGAAGCCTGGCTGCGGTCCATGGGGTCACAAAGACACGACTGAAGCACAAAAGCAAGCCCAAGACGAGTGTTCCCCGAGCCCCGCCCTCCCGTTTGGTCAGACACTGGGATCAGCGTCATTCTCTTGCTAGTGGCTTTCCTGGTAGGAACTGCAGTGAAGTGAGCTGCAAGGCGACGAGGGCACAGAGGCAGCCTGAGGTCAGGGGGCAGAGGACCCCCAGCCCAGACTCCCCGCTTGTGCTCCATGGAGAAGCATGTCTGCTGGACAGAGCACGCTCACTTTCTCTTGGAAACCGCGCTCTGTGCTCTGGAGGAAGTACGGTGGCCCTTCAGCGATGCTCCGGAGAGGAAGGCGGACACTCTGAAGCTTCATGTGCCCTGGGCTGCGGGGCCAGACAGACAGCCAGCCACTGGCGTTAGAGTGGGGGCCGGGGGCTGTGGGTGGCACCTGTGTGCCCAGCTGGCCTGGTCGTCAGCTTCATTGGGTGTGGAGAAATCTCTCCTGCCCTGAGCCGGAGGCTGGGTTCTGAGAGGGACCTGATTTGCACTGGGTGTCCTCACTGTCAAAAGATACCTCGGGTCAAACCATTACAGGGGTCCCCCCAACCTTGGAAATCCCAGATTTTCTACATTCATGATGGGAGCCAAGAACCTAAATCAGTCATCATTTTAGAAACCAGACTATTAGAGACTCAGTTGACTCAATTTGACCTGACAGCTTGTGTGTCTGACCGCTGTGGCCCTGTGCACAGTAGGTCCTCAGCAATCGGGCTGGAAACAAAAAGGAGCTGAGGTTTGAGGGAGGGTGGTGGGTGGGGGAAGTTGGGAAGGAGGGAGACAAGGTGGGGTTTCATTTCCTGCCATTCCACGTCTGGAGCACAAGTATCAGTAGATGAGTCAAAGGGACCCGCTCTCTACCTCAAACCCTTCTTTCTGAAATCTGCAGCAGCGTGGCCCAGGTTGCAGCTGTGGCTCCCAGGGGATGGTGGAGACCCTGAGGTGAACAGGGCTCTCTCACAAACAGGGAGGAAGAAGCTGGCGGGCAGCCCTGGATGACCTGACGCCTGGCGTTTCAGGGCCGAGGGACTGATGAGCCACTGACGGAGGCGCTGATGGGAGCCTGTGACCCCTCCCCGCCACGGAGCTCCGTGTCCGGGGCACACCTGCCGTGGTGACCAGCCCTCCCAGCTGCAGGGTGGGAGGGCGCTCTGGAGACGTGCGTGCAGGTCCCCCCGCCTGGCTGACTGCGTCCGCTGTGGGGGCCGTTGTCGCGGATTGCGGGCCCCACCATTGACATCGGCATTTGCAGCCCGTCTCAGATGATGCTGGCACACCTGGTGACCAGGACAGGGCCTCTGAGCTCGTCCAACAGCCTCACCTGGTGGGCAGAGGGGCTGAGGCCGGGGGTGGGTAGGTGCTGAGACCAGAGTGTCTCATACCTGCCCACTGTCCCAGACTGGGCAGTGCCCAGGAGTGTCCCACAGACTCCTGCCTGCTTGTTCTCTGGATCCTCCATGATTCCCGTGGCAGCTGGTTTGCAGCGAGCTCCGGGGGGCTCCAGTGCACGACATGGGTGCTGGGAAGGGTCAGATAGGAGGTAAGGCAGGTACACTTGCTCCTACCTGAGACCCGAGGAAGCTGAGCCCTGGCCTGGCTCAGCTGAGGTCCCCCGTGCACAGAGCCAGACACCAGGGAACGCCAAGCCGTCAGGTGCTGCCACCTGTTGGATCCACCAGCTGTCCAAGGAGGGTGTGCCCAGAGGCCAATGGAAAGGCTCGGAAACCCACGGTGTGCTTGCCTCCCCCGGCACAGTGGGTCTGCCCTGGATTGCTCCGTGGTGACCCGCAGCTCGTGGCCACTGCATCTGGGAGTGGCTACACACCACAGGGCTCCATATGGAAGCCTCTGGGAGGGGGGTCGTGACCTGTGGCCTTGGGTGTGCGTGTGCTGGGCTGGAAGCAGCAGATATGGTAATACTCAGTTTCCAGGAAGTGTGGGTCTGTCTTGGGTCTGAGATTTTGGACCAAAGAGCTTTTTAGAGGATTTGGAGCTAAGAACCCCCACACTCTAAGGCCCCTGTGACCAGGTCCCCCTGCCTATCCCCAGCCCTGGGGTGACGCGTCACATTGCTATTCGGAGGCACACCCCATTGAGTCCTTTGGGTTTATCTGGGCCTCATTCATTCATCCACTAGTTTATTTGTTCAGAAATGTTCACAGGATGCTTACTGTGTCCCAGTACTGCGGAGCTTCTGATGACAGGAACAGAGCTGAAGTTTCTAACCCCGTCAAGCCTCTTTCAAAACTTCCCGGTCCCAGCTCGGAAAGATCCAGCTCCGAGGTTAGCAGAAAGTTGTGCTGGCGCTGTGTCAGTTGTCACCTTTCACACGAGTTGCTTGTGTCTGCCCCTGAAGACAGAGAAGACGCATCTTTGATGTCCCGACAGGTGGGTGTAGGGATGGGTGGAGGTGGCTGGGTGGACCTTTGGAAAACTCTCTTTGAAAAAATCGATATGACTACATACCTCACCATGTGCACATATTATCATTAGTAATTATTGGGAAAGAGTGAAAACAGAAATCTTTATTTTTTAATGGGGCATGATTAAACTTTAATGACCAGTGACCTCACGAAATGAATGCCACACAATGCAATTTGCTCATCTCTGCTTGTGCATACCTTCTGGGTATTAGAAAATTACATAATTAAGTATAGATTACCACAGGCATGTCATTACACATTTTATTATTCCTTAGAGACTTAGTAGTAATACTCTGTATTTATATGTGCTTTTCAACAGATTATCTCCAATCACTTTACAAATATTATCTCATTAATCCTTTGCAATAGTTTCATGAATTTCTCTATTTAATGGATTAAAAAACCACAACTTTCAGCAATTAAGTGACAAGCTGAACATCGCACACTCCACTCGTCTACCAGGGAAAAGGAGGCTTCACCTGCTATACCCACCTGGAGAGGGTGTGTTCTCATTAAGTCAGACCGAAGGTAAAAAAACTCTTTCCAAGTGCTCAGGAAAATAAGTAGAAGTAGAATTGTTCATCGTAGAACAATCATGGCGGCTGATTCTTCACCATCCTTCATTGTTGAAGTTCTAGAAGAAGATTGTAGATGGAACTTTCAAAAAGAGTTTTTTAAAAAATATATATATATACACATCCAAATCAGGGGATGGGAGCAGGAACCCATTTGCTTCATACTTACAAACAGCTTTGTTACTTGTGTTTGTGGATACTGGCTGTAGAAGTTACCCTCATGGAGCAAGACGGCACCCACGGACACCAGACGGCGCCCATGGACATCAGACGGCGCCCAAGGACATCAGACGGCGCCCACGGACATCAAAGGGTGCCCACGGACATCAGACAGTGCCCAAGGACATCAGACGGCGCCCAAAGACATCAGACAGTGCCCAAGGACATCAGACGGTGCCCAAGGACATCAGACGGCGCCCACAGACATCAGAGGGTGCCCACGGACATCAGACGGTGCCCAAGGACATCAGACAGCGCCCAAGGACATCAGACGGCACCCACGGACATCAGAGGGTGCCCACGGACATCAGACAGTGCCCAAGGACATCAGACGGCGCCCAAAGACATCAGACAGTGCCCAAGGACATCAGATGGTGCCCAAGGACATCAGACAGTGCCCAAGGACATCAGACGGGTGCCCAATAGCATCAGAATCAATTTCCGGACTCTTTTGGAGAGAGCGTTCTTAGGCGGTTTGGGCCTCGTTTCCCGGGGGTCCGGGTGCATTCTGTTCATCGTCGCTATCCTTTGGGACCCTCTTGTCAGGGGGCTTTGAGGGATGAAGCCCTGCTGCTCTCTCTAGTCACTGTCATGTCAGCCCATAGCAGGCACATGTCAAGTATTTCTTTATACATGAAAAATATTTGGGGATTATGAGTAGTCCAAAAGTCCCGTCTGTCACTCAGATAATGCTTGTTTTTCTCAGCTTTGTGTGTGTGCATGAGTGTGTGCATGAATGTGTGCTCAGTCGTGTCTGAGTCTTTGCGACCCCATGGACTATAGCCCGCCAGACTCCTCTGTCCGTGGGGTTCTCCAGGCAAGGAATAACGGAGTGGGTTTTGCTTTCCTTCTCCAGGGGATCTTCCTGATCCAGGGATCAAACCTGGGTCTCCTGTGTCTCCTGCATTGCAGGCAGATTCTTTACCACTGAACCCACCAGGGAAGCCCTGATAATTCTTGTTTGTTTTTCTCAGCTTTACTCTCAGGAAAATGGGTGGGAGTCTGGGTGGCTGAGCTAATCTCAGTGGAGTCTGCAAATTGTCAGATCCTGGGAATAAGAGCACGTGAAACTGTAGTGTGTTTATGTATAATTATCACTAATTTACCAGTTCAGCTTGATGGTGCAGGAGAACAGTAAATGCATCAGATCTTTATTTTGTGGGTACTTCATGGTGGAGGCTCCTAAACAAATTACCTAATTAATTTGTGGAAACTTGACTTCTTGGATTTTTAAAATTATTATAGTTACCTTTGTTAGCAATAAGAAGGCAGTCACCTGCAGTTTAACCTTCCACTTGAGCAGGAGGAAAGAAGGCCTTGGTAGTCAGGAAGAAGTGGCTGTCTGCTACTCAGATGGCCTTCGCGTGGAGTTAGGGGTCTGCTGTCTCCCAGCGGAGAGAGGGCCCGCCGTCTATGAGTTTCAGGTCCAGGATGGGCCTGTGACTGCTGACAGGTGGCAGGAACCACAGTGGGGAAAGGAGTTGGGCGCCCGAGCGGGGAGGCCGTGTGACCGCAGGGTGTCTCTCAGCCTATTTGTAGACTGAGTCCCTGCCTGAACCATAAGCGAGCAGGTCATGCGAGTGTTGCCACCCTTGGATGTCGTCTACGGGAACGTGTTAAATGGTGGGCACGTGGCCTCGGGGACTGGCCTGTCTCTCTGCGTCTCTGTCTCCTTCTCCGTGTGTGTGTGTGTGTGTGTGTGTGTGTCTTTTTACTTATTTATTTATCGTTAGGGACTTTAAAAAGTCCTCCTACTATCAGTGGGCTTCCGAGGTGGCTCAGTGGGTAAAGAATCTGCCTGCAGCACAGGAGAGGCAGGTTTGGTCCCTGGGTTGGGAAGATCCCCTGGAAGCGGGCATGACCAACCACTCCAGTGTTCTGGCCTGGAGAGCCCTACGGACAGAGGAGCCTTGCAGGTGCAGTCCCCGGGGTCACACAGAGTTGGTCACACCTGAGGCGACTGAGCACCCACGCACTGCTACTAACACCATCCTTTTATGAATGACAGGGTGTTCTCGGACTGGAAAGACCAGCTCCAGAGCAAAGGTAGTCTTTTCAATTGAATAAGCTTGAATTTTTATGGACAAGTTCACCGCTACTATCCTTACAGTTGTCATTTCACCAGTGGGACTCCTCAGGACTGAGGACCAGTATGTGGGAAACCCTGGTCCCAGGGTCCCTGCAGGCCCTTCAGCAACCCCACTGATCATTTTTGGGTCCATGAGCCAAACCCAAAGCCCGCCCCGGGGACTCTGCCCGCGCTCTACCCCCTGCCTGGAGCCCTCTTCCACCAGTCTTTCCCGAATAGACCTTGTTTCCTCATCCGAGTCTCAGTTCAAGGGTCGCACCACCTCTGCTCAGATGTCAGCTGTCACGGGGCCATCTTATGTGAAGCACCCGGAGCAGGGCCTGGCTTTAGTAAACGCCCAGTAAATGCAGATTAAATGAAGGCAGTGATGACGGCCTGACGCCCAGGGCTGTCTCCTGAGGGCTCGGGTTTGCTGGGTGCCCGTCTGCCCACTGCTCTGGTGCTGTGACCCTCCCTGGGCCATTCAAGCTATTGTGACTCATTCTGAAGGCAGGCACACATTGGTCCTTACCTCTGGCCTCCGTCTCTGAGGCTCAGTGACTATTTGTTCCGTGCATGAGTGAATAAATGAGTGAATGGACAAGATGAGATTCAGTCTTTACCTTCAAGAAGCTAGTGCTAATTGGTGTAAAAGCGTTCATCTGTAAAGAGTGAACGAGGTGATTGTACCAAGCTCAGTGACTGACTCTTGCGGGCTTATAGATTTACTTTTCTGCAAAATTACTTGAGAACTCATATTTTCCCAGTTTTTAACTTTTCTGATGCTAGGTACTATGAGAAGGGCAGGGCTGGGGTCTGCTGGTTTCAGCACGATTGGATGAAGAGAGAAGGTGGTGAAGGCGGAGATGGCGTGGGCTGAGAGCAGGACCCTCTGACTTCAGGGTTCCAACCTGAATTTCAGGGCAGCGCAGGGGCCTGATTGAAATGTTTTACTTTTTAATTAAACTTAAATCAGAATATTCAGAGTCACAAAAGAAAGCAAAGAATACTCATAACTGGACCTTCCTAAGCAGGCACCACTAACGTCTCATTTAAACATCATTATGAAAACGTTTCCAGGGCCAAACATTGGCAAAACCCCTGCACGTGTTGGCGGTGATTTCCAGCTTCTGTCCCTGAGGTGGACACAGGCTGAATCCCGAGTCAGCCGACATCTGGGTTTCAGGCCCAGGAAGCCCCGTGTCTACGTCATGCTTTTCACACTTTGAGGATGGGAATGAATCTCGGTCACAGCGTCACAGCCCCTGGTGCTGAGCGCTGGCTTCCTCCAGGCCTTGCTTTGTGTGCTGTGCTTCCACCACTGACCACACGAGTCAATTTCCACAGCAGGTAACATGGCACTTTTTTTTTTTTAGGAAATAAAATTACTGTGGGTGCTCAGTGAAACTCAAGTTTCAGATGCACAAGTTTCAGATCTTTAAAAGTATAATTACATCCCCAGTATTGCGTGGGACATACTCATACCCCCAAATATCTGTTTGTCTCAATGAAATTACTCGGCATCTGGATTTACACTGCCACCCTAATTGCAGGGCCGATTTCGCTTGAGACAAACGTGCCAAGTGTTTCTGAGTAACAGGAAGAGCAGAGGCGTGGGACACGCTCACTCCTGTCCCCCAAACTCTGAGCGATGCTCTGGCTCTCTCCACGCTTCTCAGCCTTCGTGCAGACGAGCCCCCTCGCTCCTCATGGGGGAGGGAGCCGAGGTCCTACCCCCTGGCCGAGCGTGGCTAAGCCAAGACGGGCCTCCGCAGGCTGGCTGCTCTCGGAGCTCTGGTTGCCTTGACCTTCCACCACCTCTGCGTGGATACCCACACCCATCTCACATGGGTTGATTTCGGGCCGTACTTAACTGTATTTTTTAAAATACAGTTTATTTTTTAAAACAATTTTTTTGGCTGTACTGCGTCTTCGTTTCAGCGCTTGGGCTTTCTCTACTTTTGGCATGAAGGGGCTTCTCTAGTGTGGGTGCCAGGGCATGCGGACCCGGTGGTTGTGGCACATGGGCCCCGTTGGTCCACAGCGTGCAGGATCTTAGTTGCCCACCAGAGATCGAACCTGTGTCCCCAGCTTTGGCAGGCGGATTCTTAACCCCTGCACCCCACGGAAGTCCCTGGCCATACTTATTTTAGAATATGTAAGTTTGGTCCCGAGAGGGACAGAAATACAATTCTTCTGTCCATACTATTCTACCCATTCCTAGAGCAGAAACAATGAGATGGGTAGATGGGAGGTTTAAGGCTGAAAATTATTAAAATAATCATGATCGCTGGCATGGAGGGGGCCTCTTAGTTTCCTGACTGCTGTGCGACACATTATTTCATTTATTCTTTTTAAAAACCCTGGGCTGTGGGAACTAGTCACAGCCCCGTTTTGCAGATGAGTGAACTGAGGCCATTAGCCACTAAGAGTGCTGCTGTGACTGTGGATGAAGTTGTCAGTGAGCCTGAGTCCCAGGGCCAGGTCCTTCCCCTCTCACCGGCCGCTTGCCCTGCCCCTCCTTCTGCCTTCTGGCTCCGCAACTTGCTGGCTTCCAGGAGAACCTGCTGGACGCATGGCAGCCTGGACGCCGTGCAGATGGCTCTCGTTAGCCTGACCCATCTGTCGGCCTGGAGGATGGCCACGTGTCCCGCCCCAGCTGGGCGGGACGTCTGCGCTCGCCTTTCCCACGCGGCTCTGCCAGGCGAGACTCACCTGACCCGGGTCTAGTGGCCCCTGGCTGAGCCCGGGGAGGCGGGCTCGCCCCGAGAGGTCAGGGTCAGGTGGCATAGAAGGAAGGAGGGGTGTGCCATCCACTGCCTTTGTCTGGAGCAGTTCTGTGAACTCTGCGCCGAAGAAAATGAGTGATGAAAGGACGCTCAGCTTGGCCCATCTGCCCGTGGGCTTTGCAGGGCGAGCGCTTGGCTGGTCTGCAAAGGCGCCAAGTTGAGTGGTGGCCCTGGACCCCCTTGCTGTGTCTTCTGCCCGGGGGGGCCCCTCCTGGCTGCAGTGTGTGGTCCCCACTCCTGCGCTGCTCCTGAGGGCGCTGGGGCTGCAGGTACAGGACACTCAGGAAGAAGGTGTGTGCGTAAGTGTGTGCACATGTGTGCGTGAATGTGTCTGGGGATTCTGGAGTTTGAGCTGCTCCTCCTTAGGGGGGTGGTACAAGGATGAGTCCTTCCTCAGGCACTTCAGGCCCTGGCGGTCCTTCCTGTTCCCCCCAAAGTCCTCCAGCAAAGCGCCACTATGACCTTCCTGACACCATAGCAGTGACTCGTTAGGGAACAAGAGAGAAAAAGAAGCAAGAGTTCCATGAAGAAGACTTCCTCTTTCTGTGAATTTCAGAATCATTTGGATTTAGGGGCTGCTGCCTTTGCTCTTTCAGCCCAATTGATTGGAGACGAGGCTACCAAACCCAGTGTCTGTTTCAGGAGGTGAGACCAAGGGGATGGCCTGTGATGGAATCTGCCCAAGGCTTTGGCATGATCACCTTTAATGTTGTCAGCCTATTCAAAAAGGCAGCAAGCCAAGAAGCAGTTTCCTTTGATCAGACTGCTCTGATGCTCTTCCTATGATGCGATGAAAAGCCTTTTGGACAAGGAGCCCAAGGGGTGAGTTAAATCTCCTGATTCTACTGTGACCCGAGCAAATGATGGTGAGGATAATCATCAGGATTGCTGGTGTGATGCTCACCACCACCATCACCACCATCATCGTCACCCACATCACCATCACCGTCACTGCCACCACCATCACTGCCATCATCAGCAGGAGCACAATCATCATCACCATCACCACCCTCACCATCATCACCACCACCACCATCAGCAGGAGCACCATCATCATCACCATCACCACCGTCACCATCATCACCACCACCACCATCAGCAGGAGCACCATCATCATCACCATCACCACCGTCACCATCATCACCACCACTGCCGTCAGCATGAGCACCATCATCATCACCATCACCACCGTCACCATCATCACCACCACTGCCGTCAGCAGGAGCACCATCATCATCACCATCACCACCGTCACCATCATCACCACCACCACCATCACCATCATCACCACCACCACCATCAGCAGGAGCACCATCATCATCACCATCACCACCGTCACCATCTTTACCACCACTGCCGTCAGCATGAGCACCATCATCATCACCATCACCACCGTCACCATCATCACCACCACCACCATCAGCAGGAGCACCATCATCATCACCATCACCACCGTCACCATCTTTACCACCACTGCCGTCAGCATGAGCACCATCATCATCACCATCACCACCATCACCAGCACTTGTGTACTCTCACCATCACCACCATCAGTGCCATCACTTGTGTAGTGTCACCCTGTGCCAGCTAATGTCCTAAACACTGAGCACATATTCATTCATCGACTCCTCACAACAACCTAAGAAGTTCAGTTCAGTCACTCAGTTGTGTCTGACTCTTGGCGACCCCATGGACTGCAGCACGCCAGGCCTCCCTGTCCATCTCCAGCTCCCGGAGTTTACCCAAACTTATGTCCACTGAGTCAGTGATGCCATCCAACCTAAGAAGTAAGGTACTGCTATTATTATTCTCATGTTATAGGTGAGGATGGAGGACTCAGAGGTTAACTAACTTTGCCAAGCTCTGCACCTGGGGGCTATGCAGCTGAGATTTGTTCGTGATGTTTTCGCGTTTGACCCTTAGGCAGCAGCTCAGTCATTTAATGCTCTGGCCCTCCACTTTCTCATCAGTAAGATGGCATGATATTGAGGGCTGACGGCTTCCCTGGTGGTTCAGTGGTAAAGAGTTTGCATACAATGTGGGATCTGCAGGGAAGGTCCCCTGGAGGAGGGCACGGCAACCCACTTCAGTATTCCTGCCTGGCAGAGGAGCCCAGCAGGCTACAGTCCATAGGGTTGCAGAGAGTCAGACACAACCAAAATGACATAGCATGCACGCATGCGTGAGAGCTGAAGGGCTAGGACAAATACTATCTGGAGGCTGCTCGGCACCCGCCCTGAAGTGCGGAGGATGCAACGCGGTTCCAGGAGGCACGAGGCAGTGGGGCTTGGGGTGAGGGAGCCGTGAGGACCGCCTCACAGATGGGGCTGTGGGACCCGGCCTGTGAAGGGCCCGACGCTGGCCCCAGTCTTCCTCCTGGCCGAGGCCCGAGACACTGCCCGTGGGGCGATGTCGAGGTTGCCTGCCCACTCTCTCATGGCAGTGGGTGCTCTGGCCCTGGCGTCGGGAAGCTTGTCTTGTCTCTCTGCCACCTGCGGTCATTCCAGGTCTGTGTGGGCATCACCGCCTCCGGGATGCCCAGGGGGCTGCCAGCTGCTTCCACGTGGAGAAACACAACCTGGCATCTTGTAACTTCCCCCCTGGGACTGGCCCCTCGTTCTGGAGCAGCAGAGCTGGATTCTAGGGGCCTGAAGCCTGGAGAAGATGGGAGATTTGCTGAAGATGCAGACGGGGAGTAGCCCTGAGTGTGGACGCCCCGGCAGCCCTGCGGGAGGGCGTCGCTTTGCCGCCAGCAAGGTGCACGTCCTTACTCAGGGCAAAGGCCATGGCTTCCTGAGAGAGCCTGGCCTCTGTGTCCTGCGGACCTGGCTTCAAACCCCAGGTCTGCTGCCTACTCCCTGGACAGCCACTCCTCAAAGACTCTTTTTCCTTATGTCTCCAATGAGAGTAACAAGAGAACCGTAATTGTCATGCTCTGAGTGTAGCCCTGGTGTATAACAGACCTTCATCCCTTCCACTCAATCCCCCCAGGAGGCTGTGTGAGGATCATGTCATTTGATGACTGCCTGATCGAAACCTCTGCTGGTCCAGGTGTGGGAGCAGAAAAAGATCTGAAAACAGGTACCATATGCAGTTAATTGCACGATGTGCTAGGGCCTGAGATTTTGAGTTGTCCAGAAAACACTGCAAGTGGACAGATCTGGTGTAGGGTGTGTTTGCTCGCACACAGGAGTCAGAGGGTGCTGCTGGGATTCCATTCGTCTTTGTTTTGGAGATTGTATTTAGAATGAATCTTAAGAAGACATGAAGGCAGGGATATTTTAAGACGAGGGACAATGGGGGACTGGCTTTGAATGCTCGTGACAGAGTTATCAGAGATTAAGTCAAAACTGATAGGTGATGAGTCAGTAGCTGGAAGGCAGGATAACCCCAAGGAAAAGAAGTTCAAGGATAAGGAAATGGGTGGGAAATCTATTGTGGTTATTTCTAGTTTTCTAGATAAATGGTTATAAAACTTGGCAAAATATTGATTGAAACCAGCTGGGAGCATAAATGCCCTGAAGAGACTTAGAACGACTCTCTTCTAGAAGATCTCAGAGGACGTGAGAAATTTCTCAGATGCGAAGTCTTTGTGACATAAAGTGTCACGGCTGGACGGTACTGTCCCCCAGGAGCCACGGCTGAGGGCTCAGTGTCAGGGGACCAAGCCCGTACCGGGGCCAGAGCACTGGGAACACGCAGGGACCCGGGGCAACTCTGGTGAGCAGGGGCATGGCAAGAAGAAGCGAGACAGAGGCACCCCGCTGGGCGGGCTTCTGAGCAGCCTGTTCTCACTCATCAGCTTCCCTTCTCCTCCCAGCTCTGAGAACTGAGACCTGGACGGAGCCCTGTCCCGCCCTCCTGCCACGGGACACGTCCGGATCAGCACGGTCGTTAAGGTCCTTCGATGATGCAGGCTTCAGGGCCTGGCTCTGCCTGGTGCCATCCACCAGTGTGGTGACGTTGGGCCTGTCCCATGGGGCTGCTGGCACTGGAAAGGAGTGGACACTAGAAAACAGTAACTCCCGGGCCAGTGGCTGCATGGGGAATGAGGTCTTGGTGTCAGGAGTGTCCTCCTTGACAAACCCAGGGACGCATGGCTGGGAATAGGCCTCGAGATGGGCTCGGAAACAGCCGTGGAGGCCTGTCCCGCTCACCAGACCTGCCCAGGTTCGTCCAACGGCCCCAAAGTCACGAGAAGACAGGCTCACGAGCGCGCTGAGTTTATGCAACCCACGAAGGACAAGGCCCACCCCTCAGTGGGTTGGGTCAGGGAGGGCTATGAAGAGAGCTGGCTGGGGAGCTTCACTTGGGGTGAAGATTTGGGGGTTTAAGATTTTGTTTTAAACACACGTGTAGACTTGAGTTTCTTTGGTGCTGAGTCCTGTCCAACTCTTTGTGACCCCGTGGACTGTAGCCCACCAATGCTCTCTGTCCATGGGATTTTCTAGGCAAGAATACTGGAGTGGGTTGCCATTTCCTCCTCCAGGGGATCTTCCTGACCCAGGGATCGAACCCACATCTCCTGTGTCTCTTGCATTGCAGGCGGGTTCTTTACACACTGAGCCATCAGAGAAGCTGAGTTTATTTAAAATTATTTTAAAAACATGCATAGCTGTTGATGTGGATTTTCCAGCTGGGGGACAAAGTCTTTGACTGGGGTCCTTGGACCTGGAAGAGTTGGGAGCTGATCCCTTCTCATGCTCCGGATGGGGTTGCCTTGCAAGGTTCTGGTGGAGGCAGCTGTCCAGCTGGGCTATTCTGGGGCTTGGGTAGACAGGGGAAAAGCCCCTCCACTATTCGGGTCTTGGTTTTCTCATCCATAAGGGAGAAACTCCTATTTCTAGAGAGCTCTGTCATTCGCTGGGAGCACCAGGTTCTGGGGACTGAATCACTTCACAGCCTCAAATCCACCTAAAGGAACATTTCCAGAAGACAAATATGATGCAGCAGCAAGCAATCACAGGAAGTGTGTTTCTTCATACAAATATTCTGTGACATAAACACTATCTTTTCTCTGTCATCTGCATTGGAAGTATTCACCAGTCTCTCTAATAATAACAGAGCATGGCTTGATGACTCTGGTTAAGTGGTCAGGACCCTGCCGTGTGCTCATAAAAGCGATTACATCAGGCCCTGAAGTGGACCTGTTGATTTTTTAAACAGTGCCAGGCAGGAGAGGTGGAGCAGTTTCTTTTATGGGTTAACACATAGGTTTAAAATACCTGAATGGTCCAATCTGGTGTTAGTACAGGTTTTCCTGAAAGGAAAAGTGGAGAAAGGGTATGGGACACTCCCTCTGAGATGGTAGACTTGGTGGACGTGGAGACTCTTCATCCTGACTGAGGTGCTGGGTGGTTACAACTCACTAGGGACGCAGGGACCCTTTTGGCTGTTTCCCTCGCTTCCCTTTCATTTTGAGCCCAGAGGTGTTGCAGGTCTTTTCCATTTATAACCCATGGTCCAAAGTTTTCCCTGGACAGCCTGATAATCGGCAAGACAGCGTGTTTTTTTTTTTTTTTTATTAGTTGGCGTGTTTATGCACTCGACAGATAGTTGCCTGGAACCCACCACGTGCCAGACGCCCCTCTAAATTCTGAGATGCCATGGGAGGAAACGAGCCTCCCTCTGTCGTGAAGCTGGCTGGTTGGAGGGCAGTAAGGCCTCTGTTTTGTTATGAAATGGGTTGTGCTTCTATGACCTTGAGCGAGCATCACTCGGAGCCCTCCCCTGCCTCCCAGAGGCTCTGCCCCCGGGGGCTGAGTTGTGCCCGCAGCCCCGTCAGCACCGGGGCAGGGCTGGGTGTGGGGCCCCGGGGTTCACTGTGGCATCCAGCACCTGGCACAATTCTGGAAACACAGTAGGTGTTTTGTGAATATGCAGCTACCGTACGACTAGCTTTTTCCTAGAAAGCAGTCTGGGTTCTAGTCACTGGTGAGTTCCCAAGGGCAGGAGAATGTCTGTATTTTGCTTTTCTTGCTTTCTCATGGAAGCATCTCATTCATGTGGGACGAATAAGACCACACCTGCTCTTTAGGGATGTTCTCTTCACCTGCTTTTATTTACGCAAACTCACCTGGAAATTGTTCTTAAGACACGGAAGAAATCGGATCATGCTCCCAGACCATCTGCAAAATGATTCTTCCCCAAGAATCCTCAGAAGCATTTAGGAACTACCCAAGGGAGAAAATGCTAACGTTCCTGCATCTTTCACAAGCCAGCTTTCTCCAACTCTCGGGACAACTTGCCAGAGATATTTTTGGTAGCTCGCTCCAATCGAGGGGCTTCAGGAAATGCACCACGGGGCGACGTCGCCGCGTTCGCTTGTCCTGTCTTTGATTTTCCTGTCGGACTTACCCAGAGTCCGCCTGACTTGGCATTTCCTGACTTTCAGCTTCGGACCCGAGCGGTGTTTAAACAAAGGGCGTGGGACCCAGTGGGGGTGGGGACCGGGCATTGTTGGAATATCACACAGGATAAAAAATTAGATGTCCCTGTCAAACTAAGTTTAGGCCCATGAGCCACTGTTTGTTATGTGACAACAATGCTTGTCCATTTTATGACAGCGAAAAGAATTAGCGGAGCTACACACTCTGATGTAAGATGTAAACCAGGTGAATGGGCATGCTAAGTCACTTCAGTTGTGTCCAACTCTTTGTGACCCCATGGATGGTAGCCCGCCAGGGCCCTCCATCCCAGGCCAGAATACTGGAGTGGGTAGCTTTTCACTTTTCCAGGGGATCTTCCCAACCCAGAGATTGAACCCAGGTCTCCTGCATTGCAGGCAGATTCTTTACCAGCTGAGCCACAAGGGAAGCCCTAGAATAGACTCGGTTTAAAATATTATTATCAGGTTGTGTGTCTAAATTTTTTTTCCGGGTGGGAATGGGCCTCCATGAAGAACTTGTCTTGTAAGGCAGCGGTGGGTGTCTGGTCTGGGGGCTGGAGCATGCCGCGTCGCCCCACCTGTGTGGTCCCAGGACCTTGCTTCCGCCCCACAAGTATCTTTCCAAACCAGCCTGTGGAACAGCCTGAGGCCTGGGCTGGTGGGGACGCCAGGGGAATCACCACCCCAGGGAGGTGGGACCCAGCCGCTTTGGGGACTTGAAACCATCTGTTTCTCACCTCCTTGCTGGAATGAAGCAGGTCCAAGAGTGAGGTGTGTGGGATAAAGAGGGACGGGGCCCGCATGCACAAGGCTGCTGCTAGAAGTGTGGTCTGGCCCCTGGGCGTGTGGTGGCGTGTCCTGGAGACCACAGCCCCCTGCCAGCTCCCTTCCCCCTGTCCTCACGGCTCATGAGCATGCTCGGTCAGCAGGAAGTTATCTCGTGCCCGCAGCGTGCAGGGCCTCCGTTCAGCCCCTGCTCCCTGAGTGTTTGCTAGGCTCCAGGGAGCACACCAGGGGCTGGAGCCTCAGCCACGGGTCACACTTGCCCCCAGAGTCACTGCATGCAGAGGAAGGAGGGGCCAAATGGACCAGTGCCCCCACCCCGCATCGTGCTCCTGGGAGGCCAGGGGTTGGGGTTGCGCAGGTGTCCCTGGGCTGGAGGGCAGAGCTGGACTGGGCTCTTCCTGTTTCCCTGGCATG